AAAAAAAAAAAAAAAAAGTTAATTGCAAGTAATTATTAGTTGATTGCGAAAGTATTGATAGGATCGTTATTGAAATGTCGGATTTAATTGTGTAATTAAGATAAAGATATTCAGTTAGGTAATTCAATGATTTACGATGGAATTTATATAGTTTGTTCGATGTGTAATTAAAATCAAACAATGAAGAGTTAACGTTGGATAAAAAGATGTTTCTTTTTTTTTTTTTTTTATAATAAAAGATTTAATATAAAAAAAACATGATTTTTATAAAAAGAAAAGAAAAATGTTGAACAAAGTAAGATAAGATATTCAGTCAGTTATAAGATAATTATTAATAAACTTAACAATAAAATAAAATAAAATAAAATAATAACCAATATACTCAAAAATATTAATAATATAATTTTATTACACACACACACACATTAAATATTTTATTAATAATATTAAGTTAATATTATAATAGAAAATAATAGAAAAAAAAATGCACGAGTTTCTAACATTTAATAAATTGGTTAAAAAAAAAAAGAAAAAAAAAGAAAGAAAAAAGAATTACTGAGAAAAAAAAAAGTAGTTGCATAATATTGTTAGTTGATTATTTTATTAAATAATACCTCGTATGATTAATAAAGAGAAAGGTAATTTAATTGATAAAACCTTTGTTAAGGTTTTTATTGGTGGTCTCCTTTTGTATTATCTTTTTTTCCTGATCAACAAAGAATAAAAAAAAAAAAAGAGAATTCAATGAATGGTTGGGAAGATGGGACATGTATCTTCGACCCCTCACAAACGTCTCACCCTGTATAATCAGTCTCATGTACTCTTAAATATATATATATATATATACGTTCCAGTAGGATTCATTATGGTAAAACGTAGCGAGTTGGATGAACGCACGCGCGCCAGCAATTACCTGTTTGCAGTTCCCCTTCATACGCACACACACACATGTACATACATATTTATATGTATATATAGATAAATATTTAGGAATATATGTGCGTAACGCCAAACGTGTGCGCATAATTAACGCGCGGAACGAGTGATTATTAATTTAGGTATTACTCCACAGACCTATATGCTGTAGGCGTTCCTTTGGAGGACACAAGTTAACACACGACCAAAAAATATATATATGTGTGTATGGGTATGTGTATATGTGTAGTATGTATTATATATATTTCACGTCTGGCAATCACGTTGATCATTTCACTGGACCAAAATAACGATCTTTGCAATTAAAAAAATCAAGATTCGTGTAACCCACGTTCCTGGTCCATGATTGCGTAAATTTTATTTTTTTTTTTTTGTTGGGTTTTTTTGTTTTTGTTATAAATTTATGTTATACATATATGTTTTTTTTTATTTTTTTTTAAAGCGTAATTATATATTTTAACTAGGGGTGCTCTGCCACGCGTTGCTGTAGCTTACAATCAGTCCGATACACACGTCTTTAAGTCAATTGCAATTATAAATTGAGATATAAACTATCCTATCTTTCAAGTTTAATGAAACTGCACACAATGTGTAAAATTTGATTAAAATCGGTTCAATAGTTTAAGAGTCCATTGCGGACAAACAACGTGACACGTAATTTATATATATATATTAAGATATTTATATTTTATATAAATTTAAATTATATTTAAATATAATTATTCTTTTTTTTTTGTAATATATGTTATTAATTATTGTAATTGGTAGAACACACTAGTAAATGATTTAGAAAAACAAATATTAACATTAACATTAAACATATTATGAATGATTGTCAAAGTTTTATTTGTTGAGTGAAAAAATTCGTATTTTCACAAACGAAATCTACATTTTTCTAAAGATATAGATAAATATCTTTGTATACATCTATTTATTCTTCTAACATTATTAGATAATAATAATTCTCTTCTATAAGATTAAAAGATGATGATAAGAGAGAGAGAGAGAGAGAGTTGTGTTACCAACTACGAAAGAAACAGAGAAAGAGAAGATATGAAGTTTTGCAAAGAAAAATAAAAAGAAATAAAGAAAGATAAAAAAGATAAAGAGAGAAAGGGGGCCAAAAAAAAAAAGAAAAGTAAAAAAGGAGGTGGATGAGAAGGAGGAGGAGGATAAACGAGAAAGAGGGAAGTTCCCAACGTTAATTACGATACGGCTGGCATGGCTAACGGAGAAGTCGGTCCCTTTATTTCTTTCTCTCTCTCTCTATCTCTCTCTATCTCTATCTCTCTCTCTCTCTCTCTTCATATGAATATCGCATTAAGTCATAAAGGAGAGATAGCTTTAGGGCCAAGGGGTGGTCCCCGATGGGAAACTACGAATTTAATAGAATAATAAATAGACTGGTCCACGTCGGAACCCGAGGGCCAAGATATCGAACACGATCAAGATCTTTCCTCTTTGCCTCTGGTTATGGTGGTAATGGTGTTAGTGTTGATGTTGGTAGTGGTAGTTTCCTGGCTTCGATCGCTAAAGCCTGATTTCGCCAGATCAAACCTTATGATAATAAGGTTCCCGATATTTCGATCATACCCATCGTAAAGAGAGAACCTCACCCTACCATCAAACTCCAAACCCCCATCCCTTGAAATTTATTCTCATTCGAAACGTTTTCACTTTTGAGTGTCAGCTTTGAACGATCATCCTAATGTTTTATCTTTCATTTTTTTTTTTTTCAATTTTATTTGTAAGTTTTGTATTTTGTATGATTATACGTTATCAGGTTTTAACGTAAACATACAAATGTTTATAATGTAAATCTAATGTAAAGAAGAATATTAATATACGTTTAAAAGTTGTAGTAGTAACTTTTGATAAACTGTTGAAAGATAAACTAGAATAAAATGAATAAAAGATAAATGTATAATAGTATGTGTTTGGTATAGTAAAACGATAACACAATTAGGTAGTCTCTTGACGTCGAGCAAGCAAAAGAGTCTGATAAGGGTTCAACGTTTGGAGATCGTCGAGTGTTCCCGACAAATCCGAATGGTGAAAATCCCTAGGGACAACAACAAGTACAGGGCGTTTCAGGGATGAGAGATAAGGGATAACCCAGATAGGGCGACTACCACCACAGCTCATGGCTTAACCCTATCTCTCTCACTCACCCTCATTTCTGTTTCTTCTATTTTTGTATGTGTGTGTGTGTGTGTGTGTGTGTGTTTTATTTTTGTATCTTCCGTCCTTTTCTTTCTCTTGTTCAACGTTCGACAGAGTTTCGACCCCAACGCTAATACCTTCCGGCAGGTTTTCTTCGCTTGATTTATTCCGGGGTATAGGGTTCGTCAGATTCGCGCCACGCACGGGACGATGCGCACGTGCATACGCGCGCTTATGCTCGTGCGGCTTTTCGCACGGCCGTGCGCTAAAGTAGCGCACGAGGTGGTAGTAGTGGTGGTGGTGGTGGTGGTGATGGTAGTGGAATAGGAGGAGGAAGAAGAAGGGAGGATATATTATTAGTGGGTTGAGAAAAAAAAGTGTGAGAGAGGAGGAGGAGGAGGAGGAGGGAGGTGTATGTGTGTTTGTTTGTGTGATGTGTGCCGCGAGCTAAACGTCATCGTTTTACCATTCGTATATGAGAAATCTTTCCTTTGTATCTATCTCTATTTCTATTTCTATTTCTATTTCTATTTCTATTTTCTTTCATTTTGATTATGAAAGAAAATTTATTATTCATTTTTTATATTATTATTGTTTTTATTTGAACGTTTATTAATATGTAATATATGTAATTTTAATTAGAGTTTCATTTGAATATGTTGTAATTGAATTTAAATGAATGCTTTTATATATATATATATGTAAGTGTTTTTTGATTATATGGTGTTTCCAGTAACTTTAGTTGTAATATATGCAATCATATGTTGAAATATTATTTTATACGTTATATATAGTAATTATAATATTTTATTTATATATGGGGGATACTATTTAGTAACTTTGGTTCTTTCTGTTATACTTTCTAAGAAAATATATATTTTTACAAATTTTTAAATATATAAATAGAAATAGAGAGAGTATCTAGTAACTTTGTTTGCAATAGTTGCAGTTCAATTATTGATAGAATTTTTTTGTTCTTTTTTTATTAATATGCAAAATTAGTTACATTTGGAAGAATTACAAATTTATAGTACAGTTACCAAATAATTCTTCATATAATTTTTCCTATTCTAAATTATATATAATAAAATGTTTATATAACACACGTGTAATATATTTTGAAATTAACAAATTTATTAGCAATAAAATATCAATTATATTTCTTCAATTAAAAATCATATTAACAAAAGTATCACGTGTCAAAATTGTATTACAAATTTGTTCCAAAAAAAAAAGTTACCAAAGAAAGAAAAAAAAATAATAAAATAGTAATTATAAATAAATAAATATGATGGTGTAATAAAAATATGATTAATTTTTGTATAGAAAGAGAAAGAAAGAGAAAGAAAGAGACACAGGGGCGGCAACTTAAAGAAAAGAGAAAGAAGGAAATATAGCGTGTAGAGTATGTGTTGTGTTGTCGGTGGGGTCAAGGAGTCGATTGGTGGGGGAAGCAGGTGGTGCTTGGGAGGGGGTATGGGGATGGGATGTTAGGAAAGGGAAGGGAAGAGAAGGGAAGGGACGGGACGAGTCAGGAGCCGAGTGGCGGAAGAAACGACAGTCGCCACTCGACGCCCGCACTGTACGGAACGCGAACTTTGTGTTAGAATTCGTATTATTATTATTAATAAAAAAAAAGAAAAAACATTATTGTTATAAACTATCTTGTCTATATTTTTTCATATTTGTCTCTTCGTTTTTTTTTTCATTTTCTTTCATTCCGTTTCTTTGGTTTGTTTGTTTTTCTTCTGGATCTTTTTTGTTTTTGTTTTATTTATAAATAACGCGAGTGAAAATAAATTAAACGGAGGATAAAAGCGAAAAGAACAAAATTTTGACGAATTTGTTGGACGTCCCCCCACTTTGTTGGACGTTCATAAATAATATTATTTATATTATTTTTGTATTTGTTTATATTGGTTTGTAACAATTTGAAAAAGGTGTGTGTTCACCGTTTTTTTTTTTTTTTTCATAAAATTGAATTATTGTTTATATTTATTTTCGTTTCAATTAAATTTGATTTGACAAGAATTTGTAAAAACGTGAAAATCAATTGATTCGGTTATCGTTTTTTTTTACTTTTGTTTATTATAATTTTATTAATTGATTAATCGATCGATTGACATTGATCGATTGATTGATTGATTGATTTATAATATTTTTCGTGTGTATATTTTAGTGAGATTAATTTGAGGAAGACTAAAGTAAATATTTGCGAGAGTGAACAACAAGGGTGAGAGAGAAAATTTGATAAAAAGGGGTTGTCAATTCAACTCATCTACCCACCCACTACCACCACCACCATCAACAACCACCATCACACTCGTGGCCGGTTAGCTGCACGCGGGAAACTGCTTGAAAGTTTGAAAAAGTAATTAGAAGAAACTCTTGACTGTTTTCATAACAAACTTAACAATCATTCTAAAGTGTGGGACAAAAGTAAGAAGAATAAGAAGTGATAAAAACAGGTGTGGGATCAAATTTGTCAAATAAAAACCAAATGGTTTGAGAAAGTTTGTGGATTACATTGAACGTGCTGAGAGTGAAAGGGGAGGAGTGAAGGAGAAGAAGATTTTTTTATTAAAAAATAAACAAACAACAACATATCTTTCAAAGTATCACGTGATTCCGAATGGTGAGTTGTTGTATTATTTTATATTTATTTTATTTTATTTTTTTTTTATGTATAGAAAGAGAAAGAGAAATGTTTCTTATCAAAAGTTTAACTCATGACGAGTAGTTCGTAGACTGTTAAGTAGCTTTTCTCCGTAGATAAAAGAAAAACTTTTCGTTGTGGAGTAATCGACATTGCTTTTTGACTTATCTCTTCTTTGAGATATGTTTGGTCTTGTGTATATTGAATGAGAAAGAGAGAAAGAGAGAGAGAGAGTGTACATATATGTGTGTGTTTGTGTGTGAGTGGGTGGATGTGTATATGCACATGTCTCTTGGATATTTCCTCGGCATATAAAGTAACCATGAACTTTCTACGAGAAATAACTCCGCTTATCGAACATTCAAACGTTTCTTTTTTAAAAAAAAAAAGAAAAGAAATATTAGTTAACTTTATCAAATTATCGAAAGTATTTGCAATAATCGTCAGAACGAGATTTTTATCGGAAATTTTTTTTATAATGTTAATAAGGAAAAATATTAATGGTATTTTTACGATGATTTTTTTTTTTCTTAGTTTTCATTGATGAGTTTTTAATTATTACAATTTAATGATAGTATTTTGAATTGATTAAAAAATCGTTTGAATAAATTGAACAATTGTTAAATAATATAATAAAATATGATTTTATTATATTTTATAATAATTATAATAGAAATATTGTAATACAATAAACACAATTTAATTATATTATATAATAATAAATATAAATACCTTAATATATTTGTTACCATATATATATTATATTAAATTAAAAAAATAAATATAATAATACTCTAAGGTGTGTTGTTTACAAATTTTTAATTAAATTATTTAATTAATTAATTATATATTTATTTTAAAATATGCATCTATGCATCAAAAGTGCAATATGTTAAACATATTACAAAATACTTTAAATGATGCGTCGTAGTTCGTATTACGAAATATCTTCACTTATATACATATGTGTCTCTATGTCTATCTATCTATGTGTATATATATGTTCTCTCTCTTTCTCTCTCTCTCTCTCTCTCTTTGTATTTCTCTTACTCTCTCTCTCTCTCTCTCTCTCTAAATAGAACTAAACACGTAACGGTAATACAAAAGTGATTTCGCTTTCGTTTCCTCACAACTCGTCGAACTATTTCAATTCTAAAATCGTTGATGATGATGATGATGATGATGATTCGATACGTTTGATTTATTTCATGGTATATATTCGATATATAACACGATCGTAAAATAAGGACTATGGCAAATATCTATGAAGAGAAAGAGAGAGAGAGATATATATATATATACCCACCATGAGTATCATGAAAAGAGAAAGAGACCTTTTTTTTTTCTTTTTTTTTTTTTCTTTTATTCTTGTCATTGAATCATGTTCACGAACATAATCAACGATTCGGCACGATCATCGGGGAACATGTAAAACTCCGATATTGTACGCTTTCATGTATACTAACTATACTACTACTATTACTACTACTACTATTGTTACTGTGTATAGTTACACCTACACTTTTATTCTCTTCTTTTCTTCTTCTTCTTTTTTTTTTTTTATAGTCGTTTAAAAAGAGAAACGTATCCCTGTTGATCATCAAAAAGGGTTCGTGCTACTTCCATCAAAATACGTTTTTAAGTGGGTTCCTAAATTTCATCTCACGTGTTTCTTATTTTTTTTTTTTATATATATATTTTTTTTTTTAATATGTGTAACAATGTTTTTGTACATTAAGTAATCTTCTTTTTTATTTATTTTTTTTTTTATAAAATATCTATATGGTATTATATTTCCATCATAATAGGTGCTCTTAAATTTCATCTCACGTGTTTCTTATTTTTTCTTTTTTTTTTTTTTTTAATAAGTGTAACAATGTTTTATTTTTTATTATACATTAAGCATTTAATTTTTATTACATTAAGTTTATAATCTATTTTTGTTCATTTTTTTTTTATATAAAATATCCATATGTTTTATTCGATGAAGTATTGCATATTAAATAAATGCATGAAATGCATCCCAGGTGTTATGATAAAAAGAAAAATTAATTAACTGATCGAACATTTAAAAAAATATTAAATAAAAATTTAAAATATCTATTACTATAAATATATATAATATAAAACGATTTATATTGTAGTTATAGAAATTTCATAGGAAGAACAATTTAGTCATCGATATAAATTTGACTTGATGAGATTATAATTGAAAAAAAAAATAAAAAAAAAAGTAAAAATATACGAAAAGATAAGAAATCATAAAAAAGAAAAATTAAAAGATAAAGATATGCAATAAGCTTATAATATCTATAATACTAAAAGATAAATCAGTGATATTAAAAAAAAAAAAAAGAAGAAGAAGATAAATAAATAAATAATAATAATATATTATAAATAAAATTGAATAACATTGAATTCTGAGAAAATTTGAAATCGTTGTAGTAATATTGTTGAATAAATATAAATCATTGATATTATTATGATAAAATAATTTTTGCTTAATGAGAGTTTTAAATAACCATTTTGTTTAAACAAATTTCATGAAAAAGTAACAAATGTGTGATGGATAAAATCGCGTTCTCATGAAAATAATTTCTTTCACTTTTTCTGCTGTTTATTTCTTTCTTTCTTTCTTTCAAGTGGAGGAAGTTGAGATTCGATTGCTACTTGTAGATATTTGAATGGTTTGTTTACAAACAAATGACGTGGCCTGCTTGCAGTGCATAAATGCACTCTTCCTCTTCTTCTTTTACTCCTTCTCCCTCATCTTTCTCGTACTCTCGTACTCGTACTCGACATGAAAACCTCTTTGCGTAATTATTCACGTTTGAGATCGTTGCTCATTGATACGAACGCTTTTTGATTCTTTGACTTGTGGCAAGAATTTCTTTCCCTTTTTTTTTTTTAATGTTTTTCCTTTTACGTTTATCAATTTATTTTATATTGTATTTTTTTTTTCTCTTTAAATTAAAAAGACAATGAACTTAAAAATATTGTACAATTGTTTTCTATAAATATTAAAATAATAAATTATATTATATATATATATATATATATGATAAAGTAATTTTCTATTAAAATTAACATAATATTTGTATAAAAATTAAAATAATATAATATTAAAAATTTCGTTGTTATTTAAAATATATAATTTTTTGTTTTCATAATTTACGATTAAAAAATAAGCTAATTTGTGGTTTCCTTCTTCCTGGATGTTTGATTTTATTTTGATTTGGATATTGGATTTTTATATTTTGATCTTTATTTTTATTTTTATTTTTATTTTTATTTTACTTTTATTTATCCTCTCCAAAAAAAAAAAAGGAAAACAATTTTAGATCGTGGTTTTACGTGAAGTGATTAAAATTTCATTATCAAAGACAGAGGTTATAATACCACGATAATACGTGATATTCGTATGCCAAAAACGATTACGTTTATGTGTCTCTCTGCTGTATGTGTATGTGTGTGTGTGTGTGTGTATGTATGTATGTATGAAATTTTAATTAAAATTTGACGGATTAAACCGATTTCAACGTCTCGTGAAATTGTTGCAAATTATTTTTTGTTTTTTTTTTCTTTTTCCTTTTCTTTTTACTTTATAGCAAACTCCTCAGGGATTTCTTTTTGTTTTTTTTTTTTTTTTTTTTTTTTCTTTAATTCATTTCTCTATGATTTTCTTCGTAAAACGTTGGGAAAATGATGAGAAAAAGAGAAAGAGAAAAAGAGAGAAAAAGAGAGAGAGAGAGAGATTTCACAATATTCCTGTCGTCGTGACAATTATATTCGTCTTCGTTTGCAATTGCATAGTTTGATTCGTATGCTCTACTGCAATTATCAACGATTATCTTCGCGGTCGTCTACAGTTTCACGGTGAATATATTTGTTTTTCTTGGTTTTTTTCTTTTTTTTTTTTTTTTATACTTTTATTCAACATTACGAGTAGGATTCGAAAAGCAAAAGAATTGGAAGAATTTTCTATTTTTTTTTTTTTTCTGTTTTATTTTTCTGTTTCTTGTAGAGAAAAATAATGGGACCATTCTTATATAGGATTTTTGAGAATTTAAAAGAAGCACTTAAGAAGATCACAAAGAACTAATCTTTCAAAATGGATTTAGTGCGATTGTACGATCCATTAAGATTATTTTGATTTATTTTTTTTTTTTTTTTTTTTTTTTTGGGAAGTTCTTTTCTTCTTTTATCAAAAGATTATCTATTTTTTCCATTACAATTTTTTATCTTTTAAAAAGTGTATAGAAAATATTTATTTAATGATTATTTTCTTGAAAAAAAAAGAAAAATGGACAAACATTTCTATTTCTTTAAATTTGAATTTCATTAGTTAGAATAGAAAGTTATCTATTTCATTTTATCTTTTATAAAAAGAACAAAAATAATATCAAATAAATATTTTAAATATTTTATTTTAAACAGTTAAGTGCGTTCGACGTGTATACACGTGTATACAGCAAATGACCCGAGTGTATGTTTTTTTTATATATGTTTTATTTTATAATTTGAGTGAAATACAAATTTTTGTTATCTTCTAATTAAAATTTTCAATATTTCAAGATTATCAAAATTATTAATTAAGTGTGTGTTATATATATATATATAAAACTTCGATGACAATTTAAACTGCTCGTTAATTAATGTCTCTTTTTGTAAAGACTACTGTTAATTACTTTAAATGAATTCCATGCTTCTAGAACTCGTGACTAACGTAACTCATTATCATCGTCATAGTTGTCGTCGTTGTAAAACTACGTAGAATTTTCGTTAAAGTATCCATTGAAAATTCTTATTATTAAAAATGTTTCATCTCTTTTCTTTTCTTTTCTATTCCTTTTAACATCCATTTTATCACCATGGTATATTTTGTTTTAAGAATGGTGTATGATATTAGAATTGTTTATGAATTGTCTTTTATAAATTATGATCGATTAAATTATAATTTTTATTTGATTTAGTATGTG